AGAGAGGGAGAGACAGGGAGGGAGAGAGAGGGAGGGAGAGAGAGGGAGAGAGAGAGAGGGAGAGGGAGAGAGAGGAAGAGAGGTGGAGAGAGAGGGAGAGAGAGAGGGAGAGACAGACTACTCAAATGCAGCTCACCATGCAGGGCTGTATCCTGCATTGTTGTGCCACACACGTAGGTAAGTCAAATCTCCCAGTGGCTCTGATGTCGACACGAGAAAGGAGTCCACGCTGCCCTTCTCAAAAGTCACTCTCTTTGAGTCGCTGAGTATGAAAGGGGGACTCTCTCTGTCTTGGCCGTAAAGCACGATGGTAACCTGACGAAATTTAAACTCTCACAATTATAATAAAAGGATGGAAAATACACCAGGTTAGAATTTATAATAAAAGGTATTTTCGGCACCAAATGTAATAATTTATTGATGTTGAATTAACATTGATATCACATGAATATCATAAATAAAATTTAATCCAAAGAAAAATTGAAGCTACCTCTGCAGTTGTCCCAGCATTCCCCTTGAATCCAGTGTAAACAGTGATGACGTATTGACAATCCTTCCTGGGGTTCAGTCTGTGTCCAGGGAGAATCTTAACTCCAACCTGGCAAAACATCCACCAAACCCTTATAAACATTCTAACATAATGCCTCACTTCAGTTTAAGCAAAGGTGCTGGTGGCGCAAACAGAAAATAATTAGAGCACTAGATTTATACCACTTACAAATCAATACCATGTATATACTTAAGCATGATCAGATAATTGCGGGGCTGTGTGGCTGGTGTTCAGCACCATGGACAACATTATCAAAACGCAGGGCCTAATTCAGTATTATTTGAATGATGAAATCTCAAACAATTGCTATGAAAGTTGAATAAAGATATATCAATTTCCTTGATATCTTTGTTACTGTGGTAATTTAACTTCTATTACATACTACGAGTTACTTATTTACTTGTACTTGATTAGGCCTTCTCAGCTTGATAAATGACCTGTGTCAAAGTCAGTTATTGCTACAATTACCGTGCAATAGAAAGATATCTTCTTTCATAGGTACTTAAAATGAATACGTCATTTACGCTACCTTGGATAAGTCCCTTCTGTCTTCTTTCCGTGCCCATAATACGCCCATGAAGTACATGCCGAGCACAGTAAGCACGAGGATGAGCCCTGCTGGGTTCTCTAGAACGTTAGCAGACAGCGCTGCAGCGATGTTGAGAGGATTCGGGGCAACGAAGCCGCTAAATTTTGTCAGATGGTCACATTGGCAGTGGATGTGGCTGGCATTGGACATCATTCCCACCTACATGTGCGATAATTCATATATATAAATCATGTCACATTCTCCTTTTTTCTAAACACCTGTACTATTCAATAGTGAAAAAAATGCGCAGCAAAATGATGAAAACATTGCCATTGCGAATTGTCAACTGTTGGCCTCCGTAAATTATGTTGCCCAGACATGCCCCGCAAACAACACATCATCTTGCCTCTACACCCTGGTAGTGTTCTCTACACAATTTTGCGGTTAAGAAGCCACATTCCATTGGACAGCTCTACTCACCGTACATCCATCACTGTGCCACAAGTCAACATCCTCATCAAAATAAACACAGGACGTCTCGAAGATGTGCAGAGTGAAGTCTACAATGTCTCCACTACTCAGGTTCTGGGCAGAGCCAAACCGCACGCCTGATAGGGGAATGCAACAAATGAGAGATCGTTAGATAAAAGAAATCGCCTTTTTGAAACAATCTTCTAGTGATACTCTGACTGGCACTATTGACTAGTAACAAATGGTAAACTCACCGAGGAAGTAGTTGGTCTTATTTTCCACATCGTCATCCGTGATGTCGATCTCCTCCGGGGACAGCAGCCAATGGTAGGGGTTGGATGTCAGGACTGTTTCATTTATCCACGGGATGGACACAATCTGGCAGTAACATACATTTTGGCGGGTAAGTCCATTTATGTGCAAATGCCTCAATTTTAAATGCATTACTATTGACTGATAGCAGACTAACTGTCTAGGGCACATTGGAGTGATAACTAAGCCCGCTAGTATTAAAACAGACGATGTGAAGAAAAAAATCTTGGATATCACCGATCGAAGATTGTCTTCATTTTCATATATTTTACTTAACACCTTTCTGCATCTGTATATATTAGTAGTTAACTCTCTTTTTTGTTTTTGTTATATCGCACTTTTCGATAAAGATTGAAAAGCGATCCATCGTTGTCAAATAAAATCAATCGCTTGATGTTTAATTTGTGGTTAGAATTACAAGTAAAGCTCTTAAACATTACCTGTGCATCAGGAACAGGCAGGGTGGTGGTCCAGTTGTAGTCCTCGGGAGTCGGCGGCGCCTCCTTGCGGAGAAACAAGGCGATGTCTTGAGGAAATAGGGTGCTTTTGAAGTCTAAGCTGAAGCTTAACGCCGACTGTTTTTTCTTCGCAAAGAACTGGAAAAACTGAAACAAAAAGTCCATACATTTTTGTAAAAATGTTCAGTCAGAAAAGAAACTCACTTGTCTGAAGCTCAGGAATTAATCCATAATTACAAAACGTAACAGTTTAAATTGATTCAACTAATTGACCATACACTTTACTAGTTACACAGTAATCACTACCAACACAGATGAACGTTTCTGCAAGTTAACGTTCTGTATTAACTTACAGACAGACTGCCAAGCGCTTCAGATGCCTGGAAAGTATACAAAGAGTCTTTCAGACTTCCGTTTTTCCTGTTAGTTAGAATGTCGACTGGCTGGCTCAGCCCGGAGACCGGGATTTCGACGTTTCCACACTTGACGTGAAGGCCCGTGACGTCAGCACGGATGATGCGGGAGTTGTTGGAATATTCGAACGGGTTGAAGTTAGACTCCAGAAACTGGAAATGAAGAGAAGCAATGAGGGATATGTAGTTATCAAACTTCGAAGCTTCATTGCCAATGCACACATAGGGCATTACAGCTGTTTTTCACAGCGAACATGTTGGATTTGAAGTGCTTGTGTGTTTGTGATATGTTTCGCCACACTGTTAAATAACCTGTAGATGGAAAAAATGAGTTCTCAACGATAGCTTCAGTTCAATGATAGCTTCAGGTATATGTATCATTAAGACCTAATCCTCGTCTCAATCTCAGCAAAGTTCCAATCCATCTAGCTGACAGTTACCTGGACGCCAACGGTGTCCCCCGGACAGGCACCACCGACGAGAGAAGAAAAAGACGGAACCCGGACGAGGGAGTTGCTCCTTCCGCCCGTCCCGCCGACAGTGTACACTTTCTCCGAGGGGTCGTTCTGCCGTTCCCGCTGAATTCTGATTTGCACCTGAAACGGACATGCAAGCATGTTACAGGGCAATCGAAGGCCTAACCCCTTAGACACTGGAATGGAGGACATCACATTCCAACGTGTAAAACACTTGACACTGTGAATGTGTGATAATGCTGTTCTGTCTATATTTTGAGATGACCATAAAACATCTTGTGCACAACGTTTTTATGAGGCTTTAATAAAATTATTTGTAGCCATAGACACACAGGCACACACGCACACGCACACACACACAGAGAGAGAGAGAGAGAGAGAGAGAGAGAGAGAGAGAATACGCGTATGTGTGTAGTCATAGCCGCTTTTATGTTTGAGCTAAAAGGAGCCATGCATTTATTTCCATCTTTCTCTCCCATAGCCTACTTATGCTCAGCTATGCATGAACCATGTAGAACATACCGTCGACATGGCAACGTCAAAGAACATCTCCCGGTTCGGATCTCCCTTCATTCTGTTAATCAGGTAAATTTCGTCCAGAACATCCAGGGCCTTGAAACCGACCTCGGTGGCTTCTTGGTTCTATGACAGGGAAGGAGAAGATGTAAGCTGCCGGCCCTGACAAGCCATTTTATTTGAACTCCATAAATTGGGATTTACACATAATAAATTGTGTATGTTTGATAAAGATATTCCTCGATGTATATAGTAACCTATATTGGAAAATGCTGCTTTCTTGTGGAGTGAGCCCCGCACATCTTACTCCAGGTGTTATTCTAGCGATTAGGAGATATTATGCTATGGGTCACCTTGACGAAAAAGAAAAGCCTAAAACGACAATACATGTCAGATATGTATTTTTTCCTGAAACAACAAACGTACAGACTAATAAGCAAAAAGGGACATCTAATAACATTTTGCACCAAAAGCTGTGTATTTGTGTAATTCAAATAAAGTTTTAATTTTCAACATATATGTCTGCAATTATCGTAGATTAAAAAAAAAACTTCAAAAATGAATACGTACGCGTGCACATTGTAAATCACATTAATTGAGTGGTTCGCTATACTCACATATTGTAGATTTTCAGAGAACGACTCGTCTTCAAGATGTTCTGATACAGCCATTGTTTCAGAAGCTTTGAATACATTCACAACACCTATATGGGAAATATAGCGTATAGTATAGTGCATGTGCAGCAGGCATTTTTTTACCGTGCTCTAAAGATACAAATGGCTATAGCAGGCTCAGACTTCGCAACATGACCTTATAGAACAGAATTCAATACTTAATTGCATACTTGGATCTTTCTAGGAGTTTTAACTATCTTCTATAGGTTCGTTGATGTGCGTATATACGTAGCAAATGTCAAACCGACAGAACGAAAACACAAGCAAGAATACTAAAGCCTGCGTATTGGTTTACTTGAGTCAGATTGAAAATTTAAAAAGAAATGTAACAAAATAATCCATTAACTAACCAGTAACCATGCGGGCTGCGGCTTTGTTCACTTCCCAAGTCGGCATTTTTGTTACATTTGTCGACAGCTCTCTTGTCGTCTCAAAACATTCATACAGCAAGTAAGCAGACAACACCTATAAAATAATACAAGGATTGTTCCCTTTAAACCATAATACCCCCCCCCCACACACACACACACACTACACTAGGTCCTTGCGTAACAAAAATTGAATTCGCGTGGCTCTTGATTTCATAATATACAGCAAAAACTTTCAAGCAATGTATTAAAGTATGATTGACAAAAACAATTTGTTTAAATCGTTGTCTGTATAATTAGTTAAATTTTTGGTCACTTTGCGAACATTTCTAAGTTACAATACAACCTAATGCCCGTTGCCACACATTCACAAATTTAACCACCCGAGCTCAAGCCGAAAGCAGCCCAAACATTGTTACATGATAGGTACATATACAAAGTCGACTGGTTCGGTCGAATCCAGCTACTGTTTGCGCTGCACAACGCAAGTAGAATGATTAAAAATGTTAAACATCTCGTCAAAGTGTTCCCAAAGGCCTGCCGAACCTGGTCGGCTGGGTTTCAAAAACAAATTCGAGAGAAAGTTCATGAATGTGTGACAGGTTGGGTCAAAATCTTATTCCGTCAATACACTCCAGCATATTTCTAGATATATGTAACCCGGTGAAAGAACATAGAACCGAAACCGACCTGGGTCTTTCCTGACACCATTTCGGGAATGGCCGTCAGCATCAGCACAGACACAGATGCGCTATTTACAGTCTCCATGTCCGGTATGTCCATCCTTGAGAGTCCTGCTATCATCATGTCCACTTTCTACAAAAATGGAGAAAAAAAACGTCAATTGACATTTATCACTGACCAGTAATGAGACTGTATATTACAATTATGTGGAATAATTGTAATATACAACCTCGTATCACATCCTTCTACTTCACAACCGTTTATACAGGCTGGTTCATCTTTGCTGGTACCTGCTGGTCTACTCTTGAACAAGAAGTTATGCCCTGGCTTACATATTAGCTAATAATTAGGCCTTGCTAATCTGTAGGGTTATGCAAATGAGTGTCCTATATTTCGGGGATACATATCTGGCTGGCAGGTATAACTGCCTTTCAACGGAACACACCATCTACGTAGCCTTTGTAACAGAGTAACAGAGAACAGAAGAAGAGAGAGGGGACAAAACAAAACCTCGTTTTTTGTAATGGAGGTAATAATGAGCACCTCTGTTATATCCACGCCTCCAGCTGCCACAACACTAGCCGTATGGGACGCGATGACAGCACCGAGAAAAGCCGTGAGTGGCTCTCCGTTCTGTATCAGACTGAAGAACCCACCGGTCGGGTAGGTCATGAACCCATCTAGGTACTCCTGGAGCTGCTCAATTGTCGGTAGTGCTATCTGCAAGCAAAGAAAAAAAAACTGAACAGTTTTGCCTTTATTAGGGTCACTCTAATTCAATTCAGAAGCGGCATGGTAGTCTTTGATCATGAGATGGTCTTGTGGTTAGGATTTGTTAACTCAAAATCCAAAGTTTCTCGGTTTGAATCCCTATTCTGTCCTTCCTAATTACGAAGATAACATTTAAAAATTCCGGATCATTGTCTAGTGAAATTGGCTTTTTTTTTCATTAATGGGCGGTTTAGACAAATGTTTGTCGAAATGAAATCGTATAGATTTTTGTTCTTCATGACGTGATTATGATGATAACAATAATATACAATAAAGAAAAAGAAGGAGCACACACACCAGTGCTGGTTCCAGATCAAATTCAATATAGCGGCCATCAGGCGATCCGAATCGTACTTGCAAGATGACGGTTCCAGGAGGAAGGTCAAAAAGGTTCGTGAATCCAACCTATAACAATAGATCATAAGTTTCTACCTCAGAAATTTTCATCGGTTATTCCCATTTGAATGTTATAAAATGTGGAAACTTAGAATTCATAATTCATGTTAGAGCAAGAAATTTGTTTTTAAGCAAAGGATTTATATCAGACATTGTGTGTGTGAGAGCACGTTTGTGTGTGTGTGTGTGTGTGTATGTCTGTGTGTGTGTGTGTGTGAGTGTGTGTGCATGTGTGTGTATGTATGTGTGTGTGTGCGCGCGTGTGTGTCCGTGTGTGTGTGTGTGTGTGTGTGTGTGTGTGTGTGTGTGTGTGTGTGTGTGTGTGTGTGTGTGTGTGTGTGTGTGTGTGTGTGTGTGTGTGAGTGTGTGTGTGTGTTTGCGTGTGTATATGTGGGTGTTTGAGCGCAAGTATATGCATCTTAATGAAAGAACATCGATGACGAAACTACAGAGTTAACTCACCCATCCGGTGAACGGGTTCAGGATGACTTCGTTCAGTGTAGGCTCCCCGTCTCCTGGATACGTCACCGTGGCGATCTCTGCTAACGGATCCAGCTCAAACGCAACCTGCGTCTCCAGCGGGCCAAATAAATCGGCAAATTCTAACAATGAACAAAAAAAGAAATTTCAAACCTTCGGAAATGTTTTAGGAGTTTTTGCAAATATCTCGCTGTGGTTACGTACCTCTATTAACGTATTTGTCCTCTGCCCCCTTCTGTATGAAACGCTGTATGTTCCCCCAAACTGCCCAACCGGGCCCCGGCTTGGAAATGTGACTCTAGCATTATGCGCTTAGAAATTATCAATTACGCTGTCCCCATGATAAGGCTACTAAATTCATCTTTAAGCCTCCGAGTTATGTTGAAAGATACATAGAGGTACACATTACTACTAATAAAACATTACAAGGCTTTCTCTTTACTTAAAAATGTACAGATCCAACGTCAAGGTACTCATTAGCAAAACCTTACCTTGACAAGTTACACAGAATGTGTCAATCAAAGCAGTACCAGCGGCAGGGATAAGAGTACACATCCCTGATAGGTCCAGAGGGTCGCCATCTGCAGTTGAGCTCGGAAAAGGACCGGGCAGGACCTGGAATCTCCATTCCGACGTCTTCTGCCAGCCATCGACTGTGTCGGTCAGTCGGATCGTGTAATAACCCACGTCCTGTGAAAGGAAAAGTTGTGTTGTTTTATGGGTAGCTTTTGCCCTAAACAGCTAGCAAAAATTTGCAAAGCAAAGTGCATCACATCTTTTATCATGTATATTTTTTTGCATCTGTTTCTGTTCATCATGTTTTGTTATGTGACTTGTACTTGGCCAGTGTGGCAAAATGTCGTCTCCACCAGGCGAATTGTAGAACGTGCATATTGGACCATCTATGGCTGGTTAACTCCCCAGACGGGCTATTTTCCTTTTTAGACCATGGAAAATTTTATTTTACTACCTGCAATGGAGTCTGGTGGAGACTAGCAAAATGTGCATTAAAGGTAGTCATCAATTCATCATACCACAAATACTCCATCGGGAACTCGAAGGGACGCGTTTACAACTTCTATCACTAGAGTCCAGTTTTCAGCTGCATGTCCTGCTGGATACTCCACCAGACTGTACTCAATACTGCCCTGTATTTCTGAAGCTGTGTCCAGGACCAGTGGCCAGCCTGCTGCGGTACTGAACTGGTTACAGTTCTCCTTACACCTGTGGAAAAGTGGACACGTTTCATTAGCGACATGCGACAAATGTACTCTCTTAGCAAGCCTTCTGAATCGGCTTATTTTGGCGTGTTTTGTTAGGTTTGTTTATCAGGTTCTTTTTGTACTGTTTTTACAGGTGCCAAGTGGTAACTGTCCCGCAGATGAATACATTGTACTTTCCGCAAATTAGCATCCACCAAATATCAGCTAGGAGAAAATGACGAGTATAATTCTGCTGTTAAACGTGTACTAAAGATACATTTTAAAGAAAATATGAAATTTAACGCACTCTAAATACAAGCCCAACAAGCTCTCCTCTGGAACAACGTGGATGGTCTGTTGAAGCGATGCCGTGGGGAACGTTCCGGCGGTGACGTTGACAGAGACGTGGGCTATGATACCCGGAGGTCTGTCGTACGTGATCAGGCCGGTTGTGAACGTACGTATGCCGGCGAGCCTAGATTCCACCACACAGCCTAGCACTACTTCACAGTCTGTGCCTGGAAAATAATGTTTTCCTGTCAGTTTGAAGAGACGTAGTGTTGTGTTATTGTTGTTGCATGGAATAACTCAATGACTCCTGATTTAAAAAAATGCAATGTATTGTTTTTGTGTTTCTATTTCGTATATACAGACACACATTCGTATGGACCTCACCTGGTAGTAACGCAGCTTCGTTTGTGTACACCTCAAATTCACAGATACCCATCCCTAATCCGTCCCCTGAGACTGAGTCTGAGATGCCAGCATACCGGGCCAAGGTCCCACCAACGTTGATATAATAGGCGAATCTCTCCGCAACATACTGTATGGTTTCGACTATTGGATTGTCCAGAAGGACGGGAAAGTCGCCCACATGGATCTTAGCGGAATCGATTTCAGCTTCCCAGTCTCGGCGGACGTACACGATAATCCTGCAAATGTATAATGTTAGTCATGCGTCTGTGAAGGTTAGACCTCCAGGTAATAAGTTACGCCACAAAACGCAGTTACTCAAGCAACTGGACTTCCCAAAAATTCTCTTCACTTATTTGCATATCAATCAATAGTTCGTGCTCATAAACCTCCATTTCTCCTGAAGTCTCTTAATGTCACTGACGAAAGGTAGTGGGCTACCTGAAAAGTCTGACCGTTTTCAAAATCATATCCAGTTGCTTGAGTAACTGTTTTTTTAATGTTAGTCATGGTTTTGAATGAATGAATGAATGACTGGTTTATTAGGTAAAACATTGCAGCCCGTCAGGCTGAAATACGTTCTACTTACATAGTACATGAAAGTACGTTTCACTTACATAGGACACAACTCAATATGACGAATAGCATAAAATATTACAAAGTATTAAAATGTCGATTAAAATAAAATATTACAATAACAAAACATCTGAGTGTGGTTGATTTAAATGGACGGTCCTCAGTTGCAGCTGAAATTGTGTGATGCAATGGTTACATGTAGGGCAGATATATCCGTGCTGTAAGGGAAAGAATGAGATCCCAATCATGAAAATATGAAAAAGCTAAGACTTCTATGTTCAACATAGTAACGAGCTCTATGATTGTGATAGTTAAAGGCGTAGTAAAGCTTGCAGTGTAAAATGAAACGGATGGAAAAAAGGAAAGGAAAGGTAGATATAAAAATCAATGCAGGTTACCTTTCGATGGGATATTGTTTACCCAGATCCACCATCCACCAAGGGTTGGCCTCCCCACCGCTGTGAATGCACGACTCTGAGTTATAGTTTCCATCTCCGTTTTCCCCGTCGTTTGCATTCTCAGGAACACCACCGTAAGCAACGCCACTGGAGAACGATTCCTTACAGACAGCTATGTTGACCTTTGAAGCATCGAGGGCTACAAAATTATAATAATGACAGTTATTAAAAACGCAATGGCACCAGGCCTCTAAATTATGAAGGAAAATTCAGACAACACTACTTTAGCCTAGTATACAAATAAATTAGAAATTTTGCAGCAAATGTGCATGGCAATTGTTGAAGTTAGATATATATAAGTTTCTTTGTCGGATTTGTATTGAGTTTCGTTTCGTTTTCTCGTTATGTGGTACTTCTTATTTCTTATCATGCTATTTATATCACATTTAAAACAACACAAAGACTTTTACATTGTGAAACTTATTTTGAAAACGCAACTTAGTGAAAATACAAGTATTCATATTTGTATAATACCAGATATTTCCAGCGAGCTTTTAATTTTTTTTCTAATCGGGTCGATGTGGGCCACCCAAAAATTATTGAAGTGACTGTATCTTACGTAGAGTGGCTTCATAAGAGCATTTCCAGTCGTAGAGAAATCCGCTTGAACTAAGAATCCCGTCCGGGTCATACGAGAGCGCAGCGTTCACAATCAGGTCAAAGGTGGTGTTGACAGTTTGCTGAGCAGGACCGACGGTAAAGACGAGTGGCATCCGGGTGACTTCTACCCACGTCTGCACCGCTGCGATAGACACGTGGCCACTTCCTGGCACCGTCAATGTGGCTTGGAACTGTGGGAAAATAATGCCAGAAACAGAAAATGGATCTAGTTTGAAAACCGCCCTGCAGGTCAATTTGAGCTTGTAAAGAAAGGTCGAAACAAACAGTCGGAGCAAGAAAGGCAATAAAAATCATCGCCATGGCGACGATTGAATGGAAGAACTGAATACTGTTAAGAAAAATATCTAGAACACTGTGCTAGTACCAAAATTAGAATAAGTGCCCCTTAGAAATCGAAGAAGGGCGATGTATGAAACTACCTGTGTCGCAGAGCAAATATTGCTCCTCAAATGGAGGCTACGAATGGGGGGGAGGGGGAAGATCAGGGAGGGCTACGAGTAGGGAGAGGGGGAAGATCAGGGAGGGCTACGAGTGGGAGGAGGGGGCGGGAAGATCAAGAAGGGCTAGGAGTGGGGGAGCCCGATATCCACTCTGGTTTTTCTTTACCGACCTGTATCATGTAGAGCCCGAGGGGTAAGGTCCGCGGTGGGACGGAAAAATGAAGGTTGTTCTGCGGCCAGTCCTCGGGTAAAATGTCGTCCAGCGGTGGCCCGGATGTTACCGGTCCTTCTTCTCGCACTGTCCAATATAAGCTGATCTGGAAAGACAACACGAAAATTAGCTGTCGCAGCCTGCTAAGGTAGTTATTAGTAATACTAAATTCACATTATATTTTAAGTTAATCTACAGGGATAAGGTGAAACAAAAAGCTCGTGGTATACCATAATTCCTTTTGACCTTAGAAAATTACGCGATAAAAACAAATATATATATATATAACGTTACGAAGTTGTTTTGAAAACGAACCAAAATTTCGAAAATAGAATCCGTATAGTAAACATAGTATGGCTTCATTATGAAATTTCATAATTACATACATTATAGGACACATCTTCAGGACATTCAACCGAGAGGTCGCCGTGGAACGTGATGTTGCCGGTCCGATGAACCAGCAGAGGATTGTTCTTACTATATTTGAAAAGAAAAAAACACAGTCAGGTATTTGAACATCCATGTACGAGCAAAGAGCAGAAAAATGTCTGCACACAGGAAAATGGAAGAAAAGTTACTCCAGGGACACCTAGGAATTCAAAACCTGAGTTCCTGGAAGTTTTTGTACTCCATAGAATGAAATAAATGAATATAGCATCACAAGACAGAAAACTCTCTATGGCGTTACCGATACAACATGTGTTGTGGGAGGAGCTAAAAATACAGAAATCTAAGACCTGCACTTATATGATGTTGCAACTGATAATCACAGTCCACACCATTCAGACTATGACTGCTAGATGGATATTGATAAATCTTTGAAAACAGTTAGTTTGAAACACATGCACGGCTAGAAACAATGGTAGAGACATCAACTAGTTCCCTTCAACAAAAATGTAAACATCAAGAAAATGAATTAAATGTTTTAGAAATTGATGTGTAGTTACTCGCGAATCAGTTCATGAATATCAGCGATGACATAACACTGCTGGTCGCCAGGCGGAGCTACTTTCACAGCTGGCTCGTCCAGGACGCAACCGGTATGAACCACAACACACGGCTCGGCTAGTGGTGGATTTTCTTAAAACAGAAACAAATTTATCAATGTAGTTAATTGCAACATAATTGCAATAGGGACAATGCATGATTCAATGCTGACTTATTTGAATAAGCAATTCTATATGACGTACTAGACAGCAGGAACTACAATGCAAAAGTACCTTTTATGTATGCTCATAATAAAAACACACATTATTTAATGTGAGACATAAGGTCTGCCTATTATCCTTTGTTTCCTGAAAAAAAAAAACAAGGCAGAGATGACATGTGTTCCTCCTTCCTCATACTATTGTGCGACCCCGTCAAAACAAATTAAATGCAATCCCATTATATTTGCCCAAAAAGTATGCAACTGAATGACATGCAGATACAATATCCTTGTGTTTTATATACCTGTCACGTAGAGGGCAAATTCTCGAATCTTCGGTTGCTCCCCGCTACTTGTGTTGACAGTAATCTTCAGGTACTGAGTTTGAACGTAAACGTCAAAGGTTTGCAAAGAAGGAATGCCGGCCTGCACCCCGTCAGAGCTGTTAGCAAACCCCCAAACATACGGATCGCTGGGAGAGCTGGGAAGAATAACATGCATAATGTTATGACAGGAAAGAAAAACTTGATCTGTAGGTGAGACAAAAACAAAACAGCTTGAATAGCGTTCAGCTCTATGTAACTGCTATAAATTTTCATTGTCAATTCTTCCCCAAGGGCTAAATGAAAGTACAATAGATGATGAAATAATTTTCAGGAATGTGTATGTAAGATAAATTTACGTTGACGAGTTGAAGTAAGCAAGTAAATATTTTTTTCATATTTTCATATTTTCATATTTTCATATTTTCATATTTTCATATTTTCATATTTTCATATTTTCATATTTTCATATCTTCATATCTTCATATCTTCATATTTTCATATTTTCATATTTTCATATTTTCATATTTTCATATTTTCATATTTTCATATTTTCATATTTTCATATTTTCATATTTTCACACTTTTATTTTTTTTTGTTATTTTTATTTTTTTGTCATTTAATCAATATTTATTGTGTCATAATTATTTAATTTCTTTAATATTTTTCTTCCTTTGATAGTGTACTTTTGTATTGTTTTATTTTTGCAAGGTTCATATTTTTATATATTCAATATTTTGCATTCTAATAATAATGTTTTGTTTTTGGATGATAAATTTAATTCTAATTTCAAATTTAAGAATTTAGATAATAATCAACGTTTACCTTTCCAAAAGGAAGCTCTTGACGTCGTGCACGATATCACCATAATTGATAATCCCAAATCGGTAGATCCTCCACACCTGCTGCAGATTAAGGATCACCCAGTGTGCGTAACCAAACGGTTCGTACAGCGGCTCCCAGAAGGTGCCGACGTCGTCATCGAAAGCATTATATTCTCTTTCCTCGGTCGAAACACAGTAGTTATTAATGCAGACCTGTTGTCCACTAAACCCCTCCACCCAGTCATCGTCGATGTCCAGCCAAAAATACCGATTAACTGGAAACGAAAGAAAATAAATATCATTCGTGAATTCCTTCAACATGGGATATAAATGATTTCTTACATTGCCTTTTTATTACAAAAGTGAAAAACTTCTCTTAAGAATTTATAGAAAAAAATGGAAAAGAATGTTTGGACGTTGGCTTCTCCGGAGAAGCTTATTTTCTGGAAAAAGAATATTGTGTCCAATAGTTTTTACGTATCGGTTTTTCGCTTATTCGTATGTGTAAATTTACTTCTTAATTAGACATGCTTGTCATTCATTTTGTCTTTTTTTTTATGAAAGAATGAATTGGAAAAATTCCATCAACATCTTGGTAGCTAAGATAGCCAATCCCCTCAAGAGAAGACCTAAACGAAATAAAAATCTAGGTCACTCAAAATTTGAATAATTATAGGCATCTGAAATGAAATAAAACAAAATGGAGGTCTGGAAAATATTTTATAGCACCATATACTGATGAGTGAACTAGCTATAGTATGGCCTTGAGTAAGACAGCTTCTCCCTGGTGCTGACGTCAGTGTCGGCCTTGGTTGTAACAAGGACATTTAGAGGGCACGCCCGACTTTTTATTACCTTGGTTCGATTCTGCGCACTTTTAAGTTTGGCGAACGTTTCATTTTAGAGAAAAGTTCGAAGCAAAAAAAAAGAGAGAATGAAGGAAAACATTCTATCCAAAACAACAGCATAGTCTCAGACGGAAATAATTTCATCAGGTTTGCATGCAGAAGATAGAATATTGAAATTTTCTTACACACAACCAGGGATTGTTCCTACCATGCTTAAGTTTTGACTTAAGCAAGGAAGAATCTGCGGGTGTATATAAGAAAATCCCAGTATATCCCAGCATACCCGTTTTAGTTTTTCTTCAACACCTCAAATTTTATTGAGATGGAAAAAGGGGTATTTTTGTCGTAATGTCGCGAAACATTTGATTAAAGCTTGTAAGAAGAAATCCAAGTCATCATAATTTCGAGTCGACAAAAATGGCTTATATTTTAGGAATCGGAAAATGCATTTCATCGATACTGTATTTTCCAAGAAGTAAAGTCCAGATGTCTATACCAATTATACAAAGTAAAACAAGAAGTTTTAAATATCAAAAATTAAACTTAAGGTTTTATACGTTTTAGCCGTTTCAATATTTTTATCCCGGCATATTATAAGAAATTGGACCATGCAAATGTGAACCTAACGCTATGCCTTTTTTGTCATATGTTAATTGCGCAATACCACGACCCCCTGTGGTGAAAGAACTGATGTGTGCACTGTAGGCATAAAGGACGTCCTTGGTTGAAGGAAAATCATTTCTGTATGCCCACTGGTGTTTAACTTCCATCAACTATCATCATGCTCATCATATGCTCTACCGCACGTCAACACGCTCCCGTATTGTGTTTGTATCTTATATATTCAAAAGGCCCAGCAGGGGGTACTGGAATCCTGTAACAGTCTTTGAAATAGAATATCCTTAACCAAGGCCTTTCATTTCCTGATATTACTCAAACGTATTCTAATATCAATTTTAGTAAATTTCGTCGAAATAAATGGGACAAGTGTAAGCTTACTATTATTATCAGTTCAATGAAAGTATACGACATATCCTCGCAAACTAAAAAAAAACGCATACAAAAGATGCATTCTTGTATGCCATTCTCAACCATGCACACAGATAAACCCACAATAATTTTTCTTCCACTAAGTCGTAATTTTATGGATTACATCCTCTGCAGACCCCCTAGTGCACGCGCGCGAATAAGAAAATATTCCGGCCAAAAATGAAAATGCTATTAAACACGGCACAGCACGTATTTACTGAGTTCTTGAGCTTCAGAAGTCTTGAGTCTTGGAGCTTCATAAGCCTCGGTGTCATCCTTTTGAATTACCACCGGCTCACTACCATGGACTACCCAGGCGCCTAGGCCTAGGGCCAGACCAGAGCCTCGGAGGAGGTCATGATCACGGTTCTTTTTTTTCTTTTTTTAAAACAGGCGAAAATCAATGCGCGCGCGCTGATCAATGGGCACGCGCTTATCCATAAAATCAAGACGGTGTGGCCTAAAAATACACTAAAACTTACCAAAGCAGTCCCATGTGTTGTCCTCCGGTGCGCACGCACACACCGTACAGGTGTCGCCAGTACTGAAGACTCCCTCCCAGCAGCCACACACGCGCACATCCGGCGGTGGACGACACGGGTTTAACTCCGTCCCAAACACCATCAACATCGCTACAAACAGCGCTGTGGGAAACGATTATCCTTTTTTTCACTTTGAACTAACTTTGTTAACTTTTAAACCAACATATGGGGTCAAAACTGACCCCAGGCGTACATAGATATGTGCTATTTTGACATTTCTTGTCGAAAACGAAATTCTTTCAATGTTTTCTTAAACAGTCTTATAACTTCTCGTACGTTTTTGAGATTGGAACATTGACACAGCTGTAGTGCTAAACAGAATTTGAGTCGTATTATAGGTTGAATTTCTTCAACCTTCATATTTCATTATCTTCTATGCTACAACTTTACTTCAAATGAAATTTCAAAAAGGATTGAGTTCTAAGCTATCATTTACTTCAAATTTTAAGTTGAATTAAGAAAGGAAGAGTCTAGTGGCTTTAAACGTAATTTTTCAAAGCTTGACTGACCTGCAACCAGCATCAGGAATTTCTCCATCTTGCCTTTGCCGTCCCTGCGTGATGTGTGGCCAGCGCCGCTAAATGTCAGCCCTCACAGAGAGTCATTCAAGCATGATCACTTTTGATAGTTACTAAGAAACTGGCCTTCAGTCATGACCTATAGGTTAGCGTTCGACCTATAATTGCTAAAAAAAGCTTTTACACAAAAGAATAATATGCCGTACCAAGGACCTTTCATGCTTTCCTAATGGACAGGAGCCTGTTGCTAAATCTCACATGTTATAACTAATCATCCATATGGTTTTATAGATCATATGGCAATTGAATTGATTTGACCTATTCTTTTTAATATTTTTGATGATATGGGGGTTTTAAAACGATTATGGGTAACAGCTTTTATTCCACTTTTATGATACAGCTTATGAATAATGGATTACATTATCCATACTTCACTTGGATTGGTTTCTCAGGGCCATTCGTAAAAGGTAGGAAGGACACCACAACTATTTATACTTTAGTCTAGCCACTGTTTCCTAGGGACGTATTTTGGAATAGTTCCGCGAAGTGCCAGCAGCTTCGTGAGTACAGAGTCGGGTAAAATCGCAAGAGGTCGCTTCTCGACATAACCTTTGACCCCGTCACTCTTCAAGATGGAGGATGTAGATTTTCTCACAAAATACCGAGCCGTTTCCAGCAAATTAAAGAAGTAAGAGTGCTCTTTTGTTTCAGTCCAGATGAAGTATCTGTCAGATAGATAGTCCTACCTTCAGATGTATACGACGCACGCTTTCAATGACGTTCCACTTCGATTTTAGCCAAATTATAACAAAACGTCAATTTGGTACAAATCATAGTGTGTATGCAAGGAGCTCGAGCTCCTTGGTGTATGTCAGTCAATCATCACATCTGCATCAAGTGTGATTCAGTAAATTCCTGGATGTTTCAACTGCAGGTAATAGGCAGCCACTTCTCAAGATATAGGAAACAGAAATAAATATCACACAGCAATGAAGATACCGTCAACACTGATAGCATTTGCCTTTAAGCTTACAAAATGTTATAACATGGAGTTAAATGGTTATAATAATGTAATCTACACGTAAGCCTGTTATAACAGTGTTTTGTCACATATTTTCAGACGATTTCTGCGGAAACCCAACGTTGCTGAGGCTAGTGAGCAGTTTGGTAAGTGCTACCAAGAAGTCTGTACCTCGAATTTCCCAAACAATGAAGCTTTTAATATCCGTTTCTACCACTTGGCCTACGGTACCTATCACGATTACATGTCTGCTATGTTCTGAAAGCCCTATATTCCGAAATCTCTAAACATAATTCTTCCACTTGCCCTCAACACATCATGACATATCACAAATATCTTATACTAGTACTCTAAATAATAGTCTAATGGTATATGTGTATTACAGGGAGCCTTTCCAAAGATCTTCTAGAACATGACAACCCACACTATGCTGGCTTCTGTTGCCTGGCCATGGCAAGGTATGACACTGATCATTATCTGTCAGTAGAACTAAGGAGCGTTGTCAGCTGTAACTATAGAATAATACTACTATTTTAGATTCTGGTATAATTTGTGTACAGATGTTTTGTTTTCCATTTGAAAGTTTTTTCTTCACTTGTAGTTGTATGTGTTGTTATTTCCCGATTGACATGTCAAGGACAAAAAAAGCAAGAAGTTAGGTCAAGGGTCCCAGAAAAGGTTTCTGTCTTCAGCTTTGAGTTATATATGCATGTCTTTTGCCTTATCATAACCCTACACAAATATCTAGGTGCACCTGTCAAAAATTACTTTCACAGCTATTTTGGATGTGAGAAACTGTTATATGATTAGTATTGTAATAGAGCATGCAGTATCTGGAACCGTAGTATGATACTGTGAAATATGTGCCCGCAGATGTGAGCAGACCCTGTCCAATTCCCCGGGAGAGGCCCACGCGCTGGTAGAAGCGGCGCGGCTGTTCCTGGAGGCAGAGTGCACCAATCAGACGCTGAAGTGTCCCGGGTTCGAGGAGCATCTCATCGCTGCCATGAACTGTTACAACTTCGCCATCAAGGTGAGAAGATCCTCACAAACAAAACATGACTCCAGCAAAACATGATTCCAGCAGGTACCATAAGTTGGCATAAGACTGCCATAAAGAAATGGTATTGCAGGGCTCGAAATTTATTTTTGGGAATAGGTGCACTTGTGTACCCAGCCTAAAATTTGGCACAAAAAAAAAATTGGGGTGAACTTAGTTTGATTAAGTGGTAATTGATATGACAATTTCTATCAATTCCAGGTTCACATTGAGCAGATACAACCTGCCATGGCTGCCTGTCTATGTCTGGAGTTGGGAAATGCTCTCAGGGTGAGGACTGACTCTTAAGTTCTGCTATTGAAAGGCAACAAAGAATATTGTGAATAACGCACTTCATGATTCAAGTACTTTATGACTTATACTTTATTACTAGTACTCAGATCTTGAAATGCTGCATGTATAATTATTATGCAGGTTTGTGCAGGTAAACTTGGGGCTGTGCAGGTACTTCTTATGTCTACCTGCACCTAATCTGCTCTTGTCCATGTGTATGTGCTCTTATATGCTGCATTTACTTATATTTGTTTGATTACCTTTCTCTTGTACAGAGAGATGTGTTGCACAACATGGTTTTATACTGATACATCAATAATGTTTGCTGTAGGGTCTAAACAAACCAGACCAGGCAATGTCATACTACCAGAGAGCTGCAGACCTACAGTACCAGGTAATTGTACTCTCCTTAGTGCTGAAATGCCATCAAATGCAATTGAAGTCAAATATCTATTATATAGTATGTAGCATCATGGGATGGTTTGTTTTAAAGATTTAATGACCATTCAGAGTCACTTGCATGTGTGTGTGTGTGTGTGTGTGTGTGTGTGTGTGTGTGTGTGTGTGTGTTGAGAATATATAATGTTCATTGAACTTTGTAGTCATTGTACTTTAAACATATCAATTGAAAATGTATTTTGATATCTTCTCCAATCTATATTTTGTTCATTCTGTAAGAACCCCCTAGACTGCCTGGAATCCTTGGGACTGGTGGCTTCCTGCAAGATACAAACAAGTCAGTATTTGAATCAGTCTCCTGAAATTTTTATGTACTATGTTACTTGTATTGACAAAGAGTCTGCATGATTATATATTGCTTGAGTATCACTGGCATTAATAGAATTTAAGAAATATCAAATAATTATACCTCTCCTCCCTGTCCTATTGAAATAGCATAGTCCAAATGTTTTTTGTATACTTTATAGTTTAAGATAAACTGCTCTGAACTCACTTTGTCTGAGCAAATCAATTTTAACTGTTTAAATGTTGATTTCAGTGGTCCATGTGCTACATATACATTGTAGGCCTGTCAACAGTTCTTCTAAACATCGAGAACAATAAGAGAATTTTTTTGAAAATACAATGAAAATGGGGAGCAAATTGAATGTCATATACAATGTATTTAACATGACATGTCCCCCATAGGAGACTATGATGGAGCTCTGACCATCTTCACAGAGATGGCCTACCTGGCACAGGAGAGAGGAGGTAGATTTCTGTATTAATAAGTAGAATATCTAATCTTGTCAGACAGACTTTTGGGTAAATAAGAGGCACAAATTATACAGATAGGAAGCTATTTTTTCAGTTGATTGTGCACAAGTGTGTATGTGTGCATGTGAGTGAGAGGTGTATTGTTTTTGCGTTAAAAAGACTGCCCATAAAAAAAAGTATGCCTATAACTCCTTAAGTCTTCCTAAATGGCATATTTTCTGTTGCACAGGCTCAGCCAGTGGCCCAGCCTCCAGACCAATAGGTAGGTTCAACTTTACAAATGTTGAAATATTCAAGGCATTGTTTCCATGCTTTTTGCACCCTCTCTGCTGCAAAATCATTCTCTCATTCACTGCCCAATCCATTGTGATTATACTGCATATGATATATAATTAATTTTTAGCTGAAAATTTACGGCACTAAAAACATACTTTCCCTTTTCAACTTAAGTCTGCACAAAAATGAATTCACATGGGTTGTATGTGTGTTATTTTATTATATTTAATATAAAATGTTTATTGCTGAACCCTGTAACACTTAAGCATATCATATAAACAAATAAAGTGCATTTTCTTTCCCTTAGGTGCATTTTGTGACATCCTGGCCAGATGTGAGGTCACCAGAGTTTTGTTACTGATGCTGTTACAGGTAAGTTGTGCTGGGAGAACTAGATTGTTTGCTTTTGGATACATATAAGCAATACAAATTGTTTTAATGGAATTATCTGCAGCAATTTTTTTCTTAGCTATAAAAAAATTAAGTAGGAAATCAGGACATTTTATATTCCTTTGCACTTTGCATTCATTATCAGTTGCATGATTTATCCAATTTTATCCAGAGATACCAGTGTCTAATTTTTCTGTAAGAATTATCATTTTCATGGATATCTGACTGCCTTCAGCAACAACAAATGATTTAGAATTCCACTTTCCTGCCTGTCCAGCCCACACCCCAGAGAATCCGTCCTGAGCATGCTCAGACCCTGGAGAGATATGCCTGGGAATCTCACTCAGAAGACTCTGCACCAGGTGAGACTATTCTAACTTCAAACAGAAGTTACGCCTGTTTCAGATGATTTTTAAACAGTTTTAAACATTTAGTCTGGTTTTCTTAAATGAAAGATGGTCACTGAACTTGATTTTCATTTACAATACTTAAATTAGAATATATACCTTCATTGATTGGTATTTGTCTGTTTTTCAGTTAACTGCCTGAGTGAGGAAGTCTTCTTGTTACTACAGTCCACAGTGGTAAGGATATTACAACAGACTTGCTTTATACTTGTACAGTACATTGTGTGGTTTTTTCCACATGAATGTTTTACTTTAGTTCATATGTAACATGTATTGATTGTATATGGTGAAGCGTTATTTAATTTGATTTATTTGCTTTGTGACAATACAATACACATGGGACACAGGCAGCTACTGCTGGTGTTGTGATCCACACAAAATATTACTGAACACATAGCATTGCATTTATCAAATAAAATTAGTCCCTACAAATCACAAACAAGACTGTCACAATAAATTACACATAGATCTAAAACAGCATTATATTGATTAATAAAAACTACTAGTATCAGTTTGATTCCTCTTTAATTACATGTCATCCTATATTAGAATATGAAATATTCTGTTATTTTTTTAATAACAAAAAGTCTTTTGTCTTCCATAGATGGCATGTCAGTCTAGAGATGTCTCTGCTCTTAAATCACTGCAGAAAGACTTATGGTGAGAGACTCTTCCTTTGTATTTCCTCGTAATGGCTGGTAGTTAGAACCTGGCACAATTTTACCCCCAAAGATCTCCTTGGAGTTACCTATTACAATGTATATCAAAAGCTGCTATACAAGAGCACACAAGTGTATCTGCTCTCTTAAAATTGCAAAGAAGGATTTCATATTATAGATCTTTTACTGATGTCTATTCTACAGGCCGCACCTGACAGCTGAACAGAACCACCTGCTGCACCTGGTTATACAGGAGATGGAACATCCTTCAGGGGAGGGGATTTGAGCCTCGTTCACACCAAACCGTGTCTGATCACGATTCTCATAATCTACATTCATTGTTGTTGATGAAAACACGTAAGGGAGCATGTTATCAATATCTTGGACCACAAATGCTTCTGCTGTATCCAGGGGCCATGGTTTTTCCAGAC